CCCTCGACGCCCTGTGCTGGGCCCAGCGCACTGCCCTGGGGGCAGGCATCTGCCCTTGGCCAGGGGCCCCAGGGACAACGCCTCGTGGACACAGCCGTCCACGGGCCGGTGTGGGGGCCTGACACACGTGGGCAGTGGCCAGTGTCAGGGGAGAGGGGGCAGCAAGGCATGGCTTGAGCTGGATGCTCTGCAGTCACCAGTTCCAGCTCTGGGCCACGTTCTAGCTGTGGAGCCGGGATCTCTCCACATGCAGGGCAGCCTGATGGTCTCTGTGGGACAGGGCTTGGATGTCCAGGGCTGGGTGAGGCAAGGTTTCTGAGGTGCAGGAATAGGCTGTGTGTGTCCAGGTGCAGGAGTGGGGGCTGCGGATGTGATCCTTGGGTGCCCAGACTATACAGGCGCTTGGCCCAGAAAGGGTACTCGCCTCCCACACTGGGGTCCCACACCAGCCCAGGCAGCAGTCAGACCCTGGTCTGCCTTTGGGGTTCACTTCTATGCAGAATTTTCTCCATTTTTTTTTTCTTTAAATCAAATGAAGGTCTTTAAGGCAAGTGAAAAAAAGCAGGTGGCTATTATGCTAAAAGCATGAGGGCTCTGTCTGCTCCAGAGGTCCCCCAAATGCCCCTCATCAGGGTGGGGGACAGGTGCCATCTGCCTAAAACCAGGGGGTCCAAAGCCACAGGAGTGGTGCCCAGCTGAGGGGGTGGAGAGAGCCCAGTGCCTGCACCCCATCGGGCGTTGTTAGGAGGGTGCAGGCTGCATAGCCCTGGGACACCCCTGCCAAGAGCACAGGTCAGCGTGTGCACGTGGGGCACAGGGCCAAGTGCGCACCAGGGTCTCTGGCTGGGTGCCCTGCCAGCTATGGCCACACCCCTGTGTCCACAGCTCTGCCGTGGATGCGCTGCAGGCCATGCTGCTCCGAGGCGGTAGCGAGGATGTGGTGCAGCACATGGAGCTGGAGGGAGGCTGGGAGCTGCTCGGGACCTCAGCCGGGCACGAGGAGGGGGTCACCCGGCTGGCCAGGTGAGCAGGCTGTGCCCTTGTGCACCAGCCCCCACGCTGGCCAAGCTGCCAGGCACCACCTATGGCCCTGGAACCCCAGGGGCACTGGGGAGGGGCTGAGCTGCCTGAGCAGGTGGGCTCAGCATGAGGAGCAGGTGCACTGGCCTCCAGGGCTGCCCGGGGCCTTGGCTGGGCTGGGCTGGGCTGGTAGGGAGGCCATGAAGGCAGCTGTGTTCTCTAAGTTGTGTTGACGTTTCGGAGTGCAGGTTCCTCTGAAGGCCTGGCCAGGCGGGCTGGGAGGGGCGTGTATGGGAGGGTGTGCGGGGCCTGGGAGCTAGGCGGGTGGCAGAACCTCAGGTCCAGTGGGTGTTGGCTTGTGGTGGGGTGGGCTTGGGGTAGCCCATTGTGGCCTCCTTCCCCAGCACCATGGCCAAGTTCGCAGGCCCCCGGCTGCCCCCGGTGGTGAAGGCACTGTTCAGCACACAGAGCAGCATGTACGAGATCCAGAGGGTCACCTCCACAGCCTTCCTGGCTGAGGTAGGAGCCACTTGCTCTCCACCAATGACGAGGGCCTGGCCAAAGGGGGAAGCCCTCCCCCTCGGCAGGCTCTGGCCTCCCTGGCCGGAACCACACAAGGACAAAGGGAGGCCAGGGGCCTTCAGCCAGTTCACCACACGCACTCGTCAGTGACCTTGGACTCGGACCGTGTGGTGGGGGCGGGCCCTGGGCTCAGTGGAGGGGGGTGGTGGTCAGAGTGCCTCTGCCTCCAGCTGCTCGGCAGCAACGTGGTGAACGACCTGATGCTCCTGGAGTCGCTGCTGGACAACCTGGCAGCGCGGCAGAAGGACAGGTGTGCCGGCGTGCGGAGGCTGGTGCTCCGAGGCCTGGCCAATGTTGCTGTTGGCTCCCCTGACAAGGTGAGCTGGCCAGCCAGCCCCTAGGGGCCTGGAGACGTGGTCCGTGAGGAGGCCCCGGCAGACGCAGCATGGGTGGTGGGGACAAGCTGGGAGGAGCCTGGGGGTGGCAGCACCAGGAGGGGCAAGCCTGCAGGGTTGGGGGCTGGGCCTGTCTGTGGTACATGCTGGGCACACCTGCGACCCGGGACACAGGTGAGTGTGGCCTCCCCAGGTGCGGGCCCATGGCCCCCAGCTCCTGACGGCCATGATTGGTGGGCTGGACGACGGGGATGACCCACACAGCTTGGTGGCCCTGGAGGCCATGGTGGGCCTCGGGAGGCTGCTGGACCTGGTAGAGGCCTGGGACCTGCGCTCGGTGCTGCTGCACGTCGCCATCCGCGTCCGGCCCTTCTTTGACAGCGTAGGCTGGGTTGGGGGTGGGTACCCCAAGGCCCAACATACCTGCCCTGGCCAGGCCAGCCTAGCTCCTGACCCTCCTGCCACCCCCTCCTTGAGCCGTAAGCCCCTGCCCGCTGGGTCCCATGAGTCGGGTCACCACCGCAGGCTCTAGGGCCCCGGCCCAACCTCCCAGTGCTCTCCTGTCTCTCCCTGCCCCAGGGGCCTGGTGTCAACCGACGGGCAGGGCTGGGAGGCCCCGGGTGACACCTGCTGCCCCACAGGATAAGATGGAGTTTCGTTCTGCGTCCATCCGCCTCTTTGGACACCTCAACAAGGCCTGCCACGGAGACTGCGAGGACATCTTCCTGGAGCAGGTTGTTGGCGGGCTGGCACCCCTGCTGCTGCACCTGCGGGACCCCCAGGCCCCAGTGGCCTCAGTGAGTAGCCTGTGGGGGATGGGCCAGCCCGGCAGGGCTCCAGACGCCAGGCTCAGCCAGTGCCCTGCAGGCCTGCAGGTTTGCCCTGCGCATGTGCGGCCCTAACCTGGACTGTGAGGAGCTGGCAGCCGTGTTCCAGAAGCACCTGCAGGAAGACCGGGGCCTGCACTTCGGAGAGTTCCTCAACACCACCTGCAAGCACCTGGTGAGGGGCGGGGCCAAGGGGCGGGGCTGCAGGCAGAGGAGGGCAGAGCCGGCCTGATGGCATCTTTGCAGACGCACCACTTCCCAGACCTGCTGGGCCGCCTCATGAGCACCAGCCTCTTCTACTTCAAGAGCAGCTGGGACGACGTCCGGGCTGCCGCCCCCATGCTCACAGGTAAGCACTGCCTGGGGGCCCCACGCCCCACCTGAACCGACCCTGACCTCCGCCTCCCCACTACCCGCAGGGTTCCTGGTGCTGCACATGGAGGCAGAGCAGCAGCCACAGGTGGACCTGGAGCAGCTCCTCCAGGGTGAGCCCCACCCCCGCCCCGCCCACCCCCACCACGCCGGCCACTGACCCTGTGGGCACCAGGGGGGACTAAGTGATTTTCCTGGATTTCAAGGATTTTTTCCCTGTCACTGGTGACCTCATCGTCTCTAGTAATTCACGGAAACTTCTTAACTGTTCCAAAAGAGCTTAAAAAACACTAAAAAAGGAAAAACTATCTTTCCGTTGGCTCCTGAACCCTGCCGGCAGAGGCCTGTCTTAGGAGGGCGGTGGGCGGGCGGCCCCACGCACAGGGAGGGGTGTGAGCCTCAGGGTCCTGGCCCCCTGGGGCTCAGTTCTCAGGCAGGGGGGACCAGCCTTAGCTGCAGCTGTCAGGGGGTTCGAGTCAGGCCTCAAAGGGCCACAGAGGCGCCGCCAGCAGCAGCTCCCTGTCCCCCAGCCCTCCAGCTCCTGCTCAAGGACCCAGCCCCCGTGGTGCGCGCCAAGGCTGCCGAGGCTCTGGGCCGCCTGGTGAAGTTCGCCTGAGGCTCCCATGCCAGCACCACCCCTACAAGCAATACCAGCCTGGGGCTCTGACAGCCCCCTGCCCAAGGATGGAGTGGGGAGTCCCTGCACCCACACAGCAAGGGAGGGCTGGGGCCACGCAAGGCGGGCCAATTGCCATCCCCCCACTGCCCAATAAAGCCATTTGCTGCTGAGCAGGTGACACAGCGATGTGGCCGCTCCTTCTGGACAGGTCAGCGCCCCTCCCCCTCCAGTAAGCCCACTCCAGAAGCCCACGCCACATGGAGAAAAGCTTCTATTAAGGGTCACGGGAAGCAGGGCTGCCTAGGTGAAGAGGCAGATGGTGCCGTCAGCCCCTGAGGAGAAGACCCAGGGCTGGGTGGGGTGGAAGGCCACGTCCAGCACGCCCAGGTCCCGGGTCGTTGAGTGTCCCTTCAGCACCTTCACGGGAACCAGCAGTGGGTTCTGCAGCAGGTCACTGTGGGGAGGGAGAGGCTCAGCGCAAGACCAGATGGTGCCCGTGGGGGCGGGGCAGGGGGGACTCACCTGTACACTCGCCCGTGGCAGACGATGACACTGCCGTCGTCAGAGCCAGATGCAAAGAGCGGGTACCGGGGGTGGAAGGCCACAGCCCGCAGGGCCTTCTTGTGGTGCCTGGGGGGGCGGGGGCCAGGTTAAGGGCAGGCATGGGGAGAGGAGTGGCAGTGGGGGGCATCCTCCCGCGCCCGCGCCTCACCTCAGCACTCTGTACGGCTTGGTGGAGAGATCCAGGTCAAACCACACCAGCTTGCTGTCGTAGCTGCCGCAGATGACGTTGTCACCTGGGGGCAGACACGGTGCTGGAGACCTGGTGGCACCCCCTCACCTGTCAGGCCAGCCCCGCCCCCAGCAGCCCCTCACCTGCCGGGTGCACCGCTAGGCTGGACACCCACTTGCAGTTGGGCATCAGCTTCTTGGTGAGCTCCTGGCGCAGCAGGTGGTACAGGCGGATGCTGCGCTGGGAGGCCACAAGCAGAAAGGGCCGCACGGGGTGGAAGGCCACGCGCTGCACTTGGCCGTGGCTGCGGCGGAAGGGGCTCTGGCTGCGGCGCCGGCTCAGCTGGTGGATCAGCACCTGGGTGTGGCCCAGAGCAGCCAGCACCACAGCCATGTAGTCCCCACGCCCGTGCCAGGTCACCTGTGTCACCGGCTGCGGGAAGGCAAGGCTGGCTGAGCAGCACCCTCCCCACCTGCCCACCCGCCGGCCCCCATGGCCCCCACGGCCCCCACACCTGGCCGTGGCAGATGCGCAGCCGCAGGCCCGCCCGGCGCTCCTCCTCTGAGGCTTCGAGCCAG